AATAACCGGGTGGGTTTTAAAAAAAAAATTTTATAAATTTTATAAAATTTTATATATGAAATTTAAAAAAAAAAAGCTGGCTGGCCGGGTCTATTTAAAAGTTTCATGTTATGAAAACCAAGTAATTAAATTTGTATGGCCTTATTTATATATATAGAAATTATGTATGGGTACGCAATTTAATTGAATTGTAATCTAAACGTTATCATTATATACAAATTTTTTAATATATAGTTATAGATTTGGTAAAAAAAAAACTCTTAAACAATACTTGTTATTACAGTCAAACCTTCATAAATGCAATCTCTATAAATACAATACCTTTCTAAATATATGTTTCTTGTCTAGCTGTAAGAAATCATTAATACTAAATACATGTTCTATATTCTGCAAATGTATGTTTATTCAAAATATTTTCTTTATCATACTAACTTTTCTAAATACATATAGCCAATTGGAATTCAGTATTCAAGTTGTGTTATACAAGCTTGCAGATCAAACATTAAAAGCTGCAATTTGATTGGCTTTCTCTAAATGCAAACCTTCCTAAATACATGATTGAAGCTAGTTTGTACATATTGCATTTATGGAGGTTTGACTATATATTACAATATAACAAAATCATCACTATTAATTTATTATTAACTATAACCAATATATTGTATAATGAAAATTTTCAGTATATAATTAATTTCAACTTTGTATTTAATAGGACTCCAAAGAACTTTGATGCAACTCATATATTACTAAAAAAAAAAATTTTGCATAAAAAATCATCAAACATTGCTTTTTTATATAGTAAATTTTTAAATTTTACTCTATTTTATCTATCTATTTAGCCAAATTTATACAAACTTTATACAAACTTAGATCTAAGTTGTATTAGAAATCTTCAGATTCTTATTAACTAAACATTATAGTTATGCTAGGTTCATATTAATACCTGGATAAATTCAAATCATAATCATGTACTACATATGGAATTCTAAATCCGGCTACCCAATTTGGAATCAGAACAGTTGAATTCCAAATCGGGTGAATTCTTATCCAAGTACAACAAATATATATCTAGAATAATACCTAGGTCTTTTTCAATTTTTGTCTTTCATGAGAGTATTATAGCAGGGAAGTACTATAGTTAGTGCTATATAGTATAATTGTTATGAGGAAAATAATAAAATTGTTATAATTAATATCAATTTTATACTAGATTAACAGGATATGTTAATATCCGGAGAAAATTATATAAAATTTATAAATACTATATATATATATAATAAATATATACATATTATATTATTAAATATTTAATAAAATCTATGTAAAATAATATATTAGACTAAATATTTATTGTGAGTTACGTGGAGGACATCCGGACATTTTGATCAAAGCATGTATAGTAGCAAAGGTTTTACCCAATCACCATTTATTTTTATATCACGTAGGTGGACATCCCAAAGTAAGTCTAGTAGTAGAGATTTAGCCAATCATAGATTAGCAAATAGATCACATGTATGTGAGACATCCGGACATAGTGATCAACTTAAGCTTAGACTGTAAGTCCTCCGCTACGCTCCGGACAATTAATCACTTAATAGAAAATAAACTAAAGATTACTTTAAATTATAGGTCAAAAAATTTTTTAAAGTTAAAATATTTATTTTTAGAAAAATAAAGCATTATATTTATAAACATTTACATGTAAATACAAAACAACCCAATTTTTTTTTTACAGGATTGTTAACGTGAAACCATACTGTTTCACGTAATCAAGAATTCTAGTCTTCATAACCTTAATTATTTGGAACAAGCCTTTCAGTCTCTATCAATGCCTTCCACTATTATATTATTTTAGATAGTCTTAGACCGTTCTCAAGTGCCTACCTCAATTTTGTTGGCTAGTGATGCTACGATCAATTGGCGATCAATACTTGAGCTAACTTTTCTATTATGGCTACAAGAAAATATAAAGACAAAACTATGATGAGGAACTCAAATAAGGTAATAGTTCTTTATAATATTTAGATTATCATACGTAGCAAATTATAAATTTAAAAGAATCTTGTTATTTATCGCAGGTTAATCACGTGATAGACGATCTTATAATCAATTTGAAATATATATTTTGTTTTTATCAGTTATTTTTTTATTTAAATATATATTTTAAAAAATAATAACACATGAACAAAAAGAAACTACATGTGGTAGTAATGATCCGCACTTATCGACAGCTTATTCAGCACGTATTAAAACTATATATCAAACGCATATGATGTCTGCCAAATAAATTTTTGGTGATTAATAAGTACTATTTTATTCTTGCAACGACGGGAATAAGAGGTAAATCCTGTAGAGGTGAAATAAGGGTATTATTACGGGCTTTACGACTCATAATCACTACTTCGATCAAAACAATGCTTGTTATTTCCTGGACTTCTGCAAGTATTGCTAGAAACTCGATTTTTTTTATTGATCGTGGTAGTGATTATAAGTCGTAAAGCCCCGTCATGCGGTCATATAGAAACGTGGAATAAACGATAATTATACTTGCCGGTTGGACACTTTTAGTGTCTTATGTTCATCAAATTCCATCTTATAATAGTTTCCACGCACAATGATCTACTAGCGTTCTTATGCCTGCGTCTTATATTAACACCAATTCCATTAATATAACACAACCCTTCATTACACATTCGCATTATCAATCTCTACCGACTTTTGATCGTAAATCAATGCCTCACTTTTCAATTTAAATTCCAGCCAATTACAAAGATTTCACTAGTGCATTCCGTCTCTGCTGTTTTTGATAATAAATGAATACCTTATTTTTATCTTTTTCAACTCCAGTTGTTCTCTGCCGATTTTTTGATCATAAGCGAACACCTTATTCTCATTCTTTGCAATCGAATCCCAGAACAAATCAAAATATTTCACTAGTGCTTCCCATCTCTGCCGATTTTTTTAATAATAAATCCCTTTTCGACTCAAGTTTCATTCATAACAGTTGGGCAAGTCAAAATAATTTCTATCTCTGTTGGTTTGTGATGATAAACGAGTAAGTTACATCCAACCGCTAGTCAATAGAACCAACCCTAACATTATCCTAATCTATCCACTAATTCTAGACGTCGCGAACACATACTAAGATACACGTACAGTATAAAGCAACCGTGAAACGACGTAAGATAATTATCCAGAAGCATCGTAGAGCCCAATGAAACCCACCACTAACGACGTAATAATCCTTTTGAAATACCGTAGAGACTCGTTATGAATGACATAGAAAAACCTAAAGGCGCCAGTGTATAAATAGTGCTAAACAAGGAACAACGAAATCGAAGCCTACGTTTACCAACCAGCAAACGAATGATGACACTCGTAAACGATGACTCCAACAAACGACGATGGCAACGAAGACAAGATACCCGATGTAATAAAGAAAAAAAAGGGTGAGTATTATACTATATTACGTATTAAAAAAAACAAATGTAAATAAAAAAAAACTATACCGATCGGTGCGATATCGCAACTTGCGAAATATTTAATTCTATTGTAATGATGTAGAGATATTAAGTGATACAATAAAAATAATGTTAATTATGTCTTCTAAAAACGGCTATCCAAAAAGAAAAGTGTGCCATACGGTATATTGGCACGTGGAAAGCTGTTGTGCGTCAAAATTAATACTGTACATATAGTTGCGATTGTGTCGAAAGTATTTAGACATCGATTTTTCGCCGAAATCTAATATAT